TCGTTCGTCAAATCGTGGGCTCATATATGCAAGGCGCAAGATCAAGAAAACGATTCCTTGCCGCCAGAGTTAATCCCCTGTTTTTCCCGCGGTGCCATCAAGGACCCGGGAAGGCTCGATGTGGCGCTCTTGAACAAATGGATTGCTTTATCGGGAGGAGATCATGATCCTTCAGATCATCGAAACAGCGGAAACCTCAAGTTGTTGCCGGTTCGAGAAGTTGATCCTGAGTTTATTCGAGTCAAATTCGAGTTGACTCGTGAAGATTTGAAGAAAATAAGAGAGAGGGTACTTCGAAACGAGGTAATTATAAAGCACTACGAGCAAGATCAATCGCCTCTTCATTTGTCAACCTTCGTCCTCACTTACGCGTATATGATAACCTGCATGGTTAAGGCCAAAGGTGGAGACATCAGTAACAGAGAGGTTGTAATTGGATTCGCAGCTGATTACAGAAATCGCTTAGACCCTCCACTGCCATTAACCTACTTCGGTAATTGCATTGGTGCAGAGATGGATTTTGGTATAGCAAGAGATTTCATGGGGCAAAATGGGATTGCCATTGCTGCAAAGATGGTCAGTGATATGGTTTCAAGGTTAGGGACGAGAAGTCTTGAAAAGTTACCGGATGTTCTATCAGATTTTATGAACAAGGTTTCAAATGCAAATCTGCTTACATTTTCAGTGGCAGGGTCAACCCGTTTTGGAGTTTATGGGACGGATTTCGGGTGGGGAAAACCCAAAAGTGTGGAGATTGTGTCGATTGATGGTAATGGAGCATTTTCTATGGCAGAGAGCAGAGATGGGAATGGAGGAGTCGAGATCGGTTTCTCATCGACTAGTAATTATATAGAAAGATTGACTGTCTTGTTTACCGAGGAACTAAACAGTGATCTTTAGGCTACAACTTAAACTTTTACAATTAGTCAATATAAACATAACTTAAAAAGACTACTAGTAACCTGTTACTGTTCAACTCTGTTTTATCGAGATTGTAATTATCAATAATCTTGTATTTAGAACTTTGTAATTTTTTGCTTCTACTTCTTTTACAGGACTTTTATCACCTTTTCAAATTGAATTTTCAGCTCTTTCTTCTAAAAAAATTAAAAAAAAAAACAGAGGAGATGGGGAACCTAATCTTTGTCCATGCATAACCAAAATATGAGATAGAAACATTATATTCAAAATTATATTTAAAAATTGTCCAACGTGTATATATCATCATATTTAGTTGAAGAAAAAAACAAAATGCTTAACTCAGCAATTATAATATCTCAATGATTAATATTGACTTAACCCAGACACTGCGTTTACACTTAAATTTCACCAAATTTGTCATACTACTAATCCAATTGAATTGAATTGAATAATTAGGAGCACATATTAAACATAAGTGGGTTAAACTAGATTTAATGTTTAATTTATGAATTGAATGAGAATATAATTAAGTTAAATATGATCATTTTTTTTTTAATTTTTTAGATACAGAATAATTTTACAGTGAGAAAATTAAATATAACTCTGGAGATAAAAAAAAAAGATTCGGGCAGATATTAAAAAAATATAAAACTTATTAATTAGAAATATATTTATTATCTATTTTAATGAACTAAAAGAAAAAAACTCTACAAAAAAATAAAAGTGCCACTCCCAATGCACACTTTTCTCCCATTATTTACTTAATTAATAATACTAAATACGAATAATTAATCACTAATAAAGATTCTTAATTCCATTAACAAAGACTGGTCCAAAACTTTCCATCTCATCTCTTCTAAAACTACACCTATCTCAA